AAACAGCATCGGCTCGCTCGCGCTCCCCGTGACTCTGCCCGCGATGGCCCCCGCCGTGACGCCCCCCGCAGCCGTACCGCGACCCGCGCCCGGCGGTCAGCGCGTACTTCACGATCGCGTGTGCGAGCGCGACTGGGGCGAGTCTGACGCGCTTCACGAGCGCGCCGGATGTGTTCTCGGTGAGCCAGAGCTGGGGGTGGAAGTCGAGCTCGCTGCGCGCGGAGGAGTATCTGGAGGTCGATGCGGAGGGCCTGCCTGCGGCGGTGGTGCTGCCTGCGAGGAGGGAGGTCAGTTTGCGGGCGACGGTGGTGCTGGGCGTTGTGTGAGGGGCTTGTATGCGCGTTGTGTCTGTTGTCGAGTTTGCACGAGTACTGTCACTAATCGGTTTGTTGTATATTTTGTCTTGTTTCCTCTTGTATCACGACCCTGACACGATTGTTCTTGATGCGCTGACCACCGGCCGAGCATTTTCTCGTACATATACACCGTCCCCTACTGTACATGCCGCCGGCCATCCGCACCGCGCGGAAATGAAAATCTAAACATACACACCGGTGCTTTCAGTTACACAGGGTTCATCGCCTGCGTTTGCCCTTGTTGGCATCGAGCACCTCCTCCTTGCGCGTTTCCACACGCTGGAGAAACTCGACCTTCTCGAGGTACCCGCCCCCGCGGCGGTTCGCCTCCAGCTCGTCCTTCACCCCTGAGGTGTCCTCGCCCTCGACGTGCGCTCGCCAGTCCATCGCGGACTTGTCGAGCGTGGTGAGCTTCTTTACGGGCTGCTTCTTCGGGATCGCCGCGAGCGTGGTCTTCGGCTTCCGGGGGCCCGGACGCTTCCCTGGCCCTGACGGTTTCGCCGGAGTCGCAGAAGAGGAGGCAGTGGGGGCAGCGCTCTCGCTGGGAGACGCAAGAGATTGTGCATGAGGCGTGGTAGGCTTGCCGCCGTCATCGGAGGGCTTCCACAGCGGCCATTCTTTCGCTTCGGGCGAGTTCGCGGGTACCTCTTTGATCTCCCTGCGGAAATGAAAGTCAGAACAAGGTCACAGGAACGACTGGGTAGTCAACGCACGTAACCTCCTCCCCAGCGAATCTGTATCGCTTGACGATCTTGACCGTCTGCGGCACCGCGGGGGCCGAAGTGGCTTCAGGTAGCGGTGGTGCGCTTAGGGATGCCTTGAATGCTGCAAATGCCTCGTCCGCCTGTCTGATCTGGGCAACTCAGGCGGCTGATGAGCATGCACGGGAGAAAGGGCGCACTGCTTCTTGTCCGTGTCCTCCGAGGATGCGGCCCCCGACGCGTCCGTGCGGGCGCGCTTCGGGGCGCGGGCTTCAC